CGAACTATCAAATTCTACCTAGGTAGCACCTCTAATTTATTACACTGTGAGTGCTATTATTAAACTTATGAGAAGAAAGTGATGATTAAGTGTGCAAAGTAGGGACCAAAAATAGTTCAGAGAGGTAGCATGAACGAATTCAATAGTTTAGAGGGCATGTAAGCACTAAAAATAATTCAGGAGGTAAGAAATTATAAATCTACTAATTTCAAGGGCAAATAGAGACCGAAACCAATAGATGATAAATATATAAATAAGGCAACCATGAAATTGATCTTCGATCATCCAACAATCTAAGACCAAAATAATGGTGATTGTCTCATAAATATATTTAGGAGAAAATTTTAAAATAGACAATTTTAAAATATTAATTAGCAAAATTGTCAGCAAATTGTTTTAATTTAATTAGTAAAATCGATCACTTTTCAGTCATGTTAGCACGGCCAACTGAAAAGTGACCGATTTTACACAATATAATGGTTAGAATTATATAGGACTAGTTGTCCCGTATAAGTAGTTACGTTACTAACAGTCTCTTGTTTCTTAAAAAATAGAATGCTAGAGAAGTTTTGAGAAACCAACAAAATTAACTTGACAACAAACGGGCATTTATACTTTTTCGAGAGAAAAATCACCCAACTACTTAACTTGACAGCAAATGGGCCATTAATATTATAACTGGACCGTTAGAGTTGAAGCCAACTAAGGCCACACAAAGGCTACTCGTCGTTTCCCACTTGGTGCTCACTCATTGTGGGGCCAAGCTAACGAGGTGTTTCGTTGCACAATTTTATAAAAAAATTCAAAATGTCTAATCCTGATAATTCTGTAATTAAAAATTTTTTTTAGATTTTTGTAAATTGTGTTTGGTTCAAAAAAATTTACAGAAATATTTTCTGTAAAATATAAAAAAATATCAAAATTTATAAAAATTAATTTTCTCTCAAAATGGACGGAAATCACCCAGAAATCTGACAAACATTAACACTTTCCTAAGTTGATACTTTTCTATAAATTCAGGGGGTGTTTGGATCAATTTCTACAAATTATAAAAAATCTTGCTATTTTCTATAAAGTTATGAGTCATTTTCTTATTTTGAACCAAACAAGCAAAGTAAAAAAAATAAGAAAATTAGTATTTTTTGACTTCTTAAAACTTTTCCTATAATTTTTTTAAGATATACAATGAAATCATATTTTGGATGGAAAACATTTCCGATAATTTATAGAAATTGAACCAAACACCCCCTAAGTGTAAGAAATTAAGACCGTTAGTTTGTAGGTATGTATGCGTGGTGAGCCCCACCAATTGATTCGCGTACGTAAAATGGATATGCGTGGCCCCACAACTAACAGAATTTGCTCGTTAAATATCAGAAAACCCCTCATTAACTTTGGGTGATTATCAGAAACCCTGTTTAACTTTCAAAATATAGAAACCCTTCTTAAGCATCGGAATTATCATTTAAGCCCCCTTTAACTTCTAGATTTTATCAAAAAATATCCTTTAACTTTGAGATTTTATTAAAAATCACCATAAAATTAGTGGGGCTTTCTGATAAAATCTTAAACTTAAGAGGGGTTTTCTGATAACTCCTAAACTTAAGTGGGTTTTTCTGATCTTTTCAAAGTTAAGGAGTGTTTTCTGATAATCATCCAAAGTTTCCAAAGTTAAGGGACATTTTTTGATATTTAACCTTGTTTATGTGATAGGAAGGCCTATTCTCAATACTAACAGAACACGTGGCAATCGCTCTCGTGTTCATAAAAACTAGTTAGCATACACGTACTCTGATTGATTCATGTTTTCAAAATATCATAAAACCCCTTTAAGTATCGAAATTTTTACTAAAGACCGCTTTAACTTTCAGATTTTATCAAAAAATACCCTTTAACTTTGAGATTTTATTAGAAACCCCATAAGTTTAGAGGGGGGCTTTCTGATAAAATCTTAAGGTTAAGAGGGACTTTCTGATAACCCCTAAACTTAAGGGGAGTTTTCTAATATTTTCAAAGTTAAAGGGTGTTTTCTTGTAATCATCCAAAATTAAGGAAGGTTTTTTGATATTTAACCTCCCTTAATTTTGGATGATTATAAGAAAACACCCTTTAACTTTGAAAAGATCAGAAAAACCCACTTAAGTTTAGTGGTTATCAGAAAACCCCTCTTAAGTTTAAGATTTTATCAGAAAGCCCCACTAATTTTATGGTGATTTTTAATAAAATCTCAAAGTTAAAGGGTATTTTTTGATAAAATCTAGAAGTTAAAGGGGGCTTAAATGATAATTCTGATACTTAAGAAGGGTTTCTATATTCTCAGTACTATCTCTCTTTGGGTAGTACTGAGAATAGGCCTCCCTTAATCTTTATACATATTCTCTAGTAAATAAATTTTTTAAAGTTCTGAGATTTTCTATTTTGTAATTTCTTGACAAATGGTTGAACATGGAGATTGAAAAATCATTTATAGCTCGTATCTCATTAAAGATATTTCAATTAATTGGAACATGGTCACAATGAAAATCATATCAAAGATTTTTCTATTAATTAAGATTGTTTGAAATGTAAGAAATTCTTTTGGATTTTTAGTCAATTTTATAAAATCTAGGACTTTTCGATCTATTAAAACTTTTTCAATTTCGACTCTAAATACTCAATTTCTAAAAGTCTTTTGGATATTTCTACTAATTTTGTAGGTTGATTTTTTTGGTAAAATCTTTAAGTTATGCCTTTTGAATATTTCTACAATTTGTGCAAGTTATATAGATTTTGGATATTTTCTAGGTTGGTAATTCCTGCAAAATTGACATTTGGCCCCTTAATTATGAAAATAGTTTAGGAGTTGAGCATATTTCATAATATCATCTATTATCTTTATATTTAATTTAAATATAAGAAACAAATGCTAAGATAAAGAATTCTATTTTTTTTACTTGTTAGGTACCAAATTCAAATATTTAGATTGTTAAATTTTTGAATGTTTACTGTTTTCTCTGATAAATAAATTTTCTAAATTTTGAGATTTTCTATTTTGTAATTTCTAGAGAAGTGGCTAAATGTGTAGGTTGAATAATTACCTAAAAATTAGTATAATTTTTAACATACTTAAATTAAATCTGAACTATAAACATATTAATTATAATAGGATTGAATAATTGAAGCTTATACCTAGTAATTAAAATTAGTTAGAATAGAAGATAATAATAATGTAATGTCTAAAAGGGTCAAGTATATTTTTGTCTATGAAAAGTTTTTTTCAAGCTCTCACTTTTAAAAGGGGTATGATCTACGATGAAACTGTAATTAGTAAGTATTAATTACACTAGACTAGTTGTCCTATGTCTTTCAAAAACAGTATTTTAAAAAATTGACCAGCTTTTAACCAATTGTGTTGACATCTCTGAAAATTGATCGATTTTGCTAATTAAATTTTTTTGGGTCAATTTTGCTAATTAAATTTCGAATTTGGTATATTTAAAAAATTTATCCATATATTTTAAAAATATATTTTAAAGGAATCGTCAATCTTCTTTTACTTTCCATGTGACGCACACATTCTTAATTTAGACAAATAAATAATAAACAGACAGTTAGGCATTTAAAATGTAGAAAGAGGCTTAATTACTTGTTGAACACGGTTGCTGATTGTGACCTTTCTAATGAAGTATCGGCGGTAGTTCGGCTGCGGAAAACTCTGCTTCTATCGACAGAGATATAAACAGGGCAACCAAGGGAATTCGGATCCTCTCACTTCTGATGTGACAGTAGAGTACTTTCAAGTGTTATGGTGAAGTGTGTGTTAATTTGCAACTCTGCAACCCAAATTTGCTTTAATATCTGTTTACTAGAACTTCTGGTATATACGATGCGTGCATCACACGTAACCTAAAGCATGTTGTGCTCCAATAGTCGAGGGAACGAACAACTTTTGGACTTTTCAGATATTTTTCAAGTTTGAAGGCATTTCTGTTGATTTCACATGGATTTTTTTTTAAACGTGATAGCGTTTACATCTTTTCTAGATTTAGATGTATTTTTGCTAAGTTTCCAGGTGTGAGGACATTTTCCTTAATGAGACTACTTTCAAATTTCCAAAAAATGAAGCTCGGGTTCTTTTATAGATTTATGTTATCAAAATTAACATATTACAATTGGCGGGCATGACATATTGGAGTATTCCATCACAATTTTATGTCCCCTGTCAAAACTAACAATCTATTATCAATCTTTTTTAAACAAATTAAACAAATATGTTTTCAGTTGTCTTCCCTCTAAAATCCGGATCGTGCTTGAAATTCATTCTGAGGATATGGAATACCAAACAGGCAAATGGGTTTCCAAGTTTTACACTACAACAGTAGAAATATTGTAGAAGGAAACTACCGGATGCTAACTTTTTTTCGTGAAAGTTATCATCAGTGATTCTTCTGTGAAAGAAAGAGAGAGAAACTGATTGAAGTTGGGTTCAGAGATTTCCAATATTTGGTGATTGCAAGAAAAATCTGCCCCGATTTTTCTGAAGCTCAAGATAACCGCTTGCGTTAATCCTGCAAACACCCTAGAGTTCATAACAATCCTCATCAAGCATTCTTTTTGGTCAGTAGACCCCTCTCTTTTTGCTTCCGGGGTGCATTGCGTTTGAGTCTTAGGGCTTTTTGGTTGATAGGAAGTATTAGAAGTAAAAAAAATAAATCAAACCTATTACTTCCGAAATTATGAATTAGGAAATAGCAGAATCACTTCTCTTTTGTTTGTTTTGTAAATTTTTGAAAGTAGATGAAATAATATTTCTTCCACTTCATTAACATTTTTTTTGTTTGGTAGCAATAATAAATATTATTAGGAAGAGAGAAAATGATTTTTCGTGATTTTATTTGAAGTATCGAAAGTAGCATTTTTTAAAAAATAAACATATTTTTCTTCTCAAAAGTAGCAAAAAAAACGCGTATTTCATTTATTTCACATACTTAATAGCTACTTCCATACAAACAAACAAACACTTTGTGTTATGGTACACAAACATAAAGCTCAAACCCAACAAAATAACAAATCCTTCATACAGTCCCGAACAAAAATTGGAAACATAGACCTCATAAGATAAAATTTTCTCTATCAAACATTAATCGAATACCCTGGTTCCTGACGTACAACAGAGGAAACTAGCATGGAGGCCAACCAACATGCCAGCATTTTACAACACCCATTTACAATGACAGAAGTGGCACCATCACACAAGGAAAAGAAACTCTCCTCATATTCACATATTAACATGACAAGTGAAAAAGGCCTATCAACTGGAATCAATCATCTTCGACGACTGAAAGCGGCTCAAAGCAGGAATTTTCTCTCGCAGCAATGCTCACAAAAAAAGAGATGAGAATTTTTTTGGAAAACTGCTGAACTCCTACTGAAGGGTAATTTCGTTATGCTGATTATTGCGGAAGCAGACGTCTCACACAATTGGGAGTGGGATATCATCGCTAGTGCCAGAAGTCCGGTTTTGTACAGCCTTGACAGCTGCAACTCTCGCTGCATTGGCTGCTTTATTTGCTGCGGCCACTGCTTTATTGACCCTCTCATCTACACTTGGTACATCAAATGCTTTCTCTGCTGCTCTTCGTGCTTCCTGATGATATAACAGAGAAAAGATTTCAGTTTAATGATATTCCGTATTTTAACGTAAGATCATTACCTGCAAAGGGAAGATCATATAGATCTTAACTTTGCTAGGGATAAAATTTCACAAAACATCCCAAAACTACTGAGGGGTTTGACACACACCCAAAAAAAAAAAAAAACTAAAAATAAAAAATAAAAAATGAAAAAGAGCAGCTCCCAAAACAAATCAGATAAAAAAATACTATATAAATCATAGGAAACCCCTTGACTTTGTTTCACCTGAGTACCTTTATAAACCACAGTTTCCTTAAGTTATCATGTGCTCTGCACGTGACAACTTTCTGACAAATTTACCCTTATATACTAAATGACTTCTATGTTATCTTTTCGGTAAGAGAAACATAGACTGAAAAAGCAGTTTAGTCTTTTCACTCTACCCATTAGTGCCATCTACATGAATTTAGTATAATTTTAAAAGTTGAATAAGATCAATGATTTATGAAGTTTGGTGGGGCTATGTGCAAAAATCCAAAACCCTCAAGTTTCAATGGTGTTTTAAAAAATTTACCCTTTGCTAGGTTGTTAGTCATCTTACCTGAACAGCATTGAGTACCTTGGAGTGATTCACAGCAATAGGAGATCCAGGAAAAGTATTCTGTGTGCTCAAAGTATCAAGGATGCCATTTTGCCAGTGACCTGCTTGGGTCTCTCCATTTCTAAATGTGTACATTCCCAAGCCTTGCCTTCTTCCTTCATGCCATGATCCCTCATATCGATGCCCATTTGCAAAATGATAAACTCCAAAACCATGCATTTTGTCTGCAAAGTACTCTCCAGAATAGGTATCACCATTCCTTTGCGCATCAACAAAAATAAAATCAGTTTCCCAAATATTTTCACAATAGATAACTCAATATTTTGCTCCATAGACTGATAAAACTGAAAACTGCATCAATTGATAACCATACTTAAACGAAGACAAGGCCACCTCAAAATTAGAGCTTATACAAAGAAATTCGAGAAGGGAAAATAATCTCTAATTTTATGATTTAGTTGCTCAGGTTCATCAGTATAAGATGATGCAACCATATATATGCGCAGGCATGACCAGCAAAATTACGATGGAATGTGCCGTTCCTTTCTGAACATAATAATACTCAGGTCCATTGCTTGCAGCAGGAGTAGAATACCTCACATATACCCTACTCAGACACGAACAAAATCAAGAGCAAAAATAAAGAACAGTTGGCTGGGATCAGGTTTACTAAGAATTTTGAGGAGGTTGGCCCAGGAATAACATGAATATTTCCTCAACCAAGACATTCCTAATCCATCTACAATCATTTTGTAGAATTACAACAGCAGATACATAAACAGTTAACCAAACATCCACATGTTTATTCGACATCGATGAATACATAATGGGTGAATGTGATCTTTAACTAATCAAAGACCAGAATGAACGCTAAGTTCAAAATCCTCATGGCTGAAAGACAAATAAATTTACTAAATAAAAAAAGGTAAATTCTCGTTGTAAGGAACTTGTTGGGCGTTTATCTCTGCAAAGCTGATAATTCACATGTTGCTTGAGATGGCCCGGAACCGAAAAAGAAGGAAATACGCTCATTTTCACTGAAACTAAACACAGGCAAGCAAATGCTTCTGATGTCTATAATTCATTCATGCCAGGGCCTTTCAGTTTTTTGGCCTATAAATGGCTTTCAGCAAATAGTACCTGGATGGAGGACCACAAAAACCCAAGAGATCACGAGGAGAAAGAAATATCCAAGGCTCAGCAAACTTTACTTTTAATGCTTAAGAAATCAACATAATGCTAGGATTAGTAGCTTTTATCCTATAATATTCATATCAAGAAATTTCCATCTGTTCATTCTGACTAAAATTGATGTTTAGCATATTTGTGCAACTAAAAATGACATCAAACAAGAAGTAATAGAACATACACTTAGACTCAAAGTAAGGCTTCCTTTTTAATGACAGTATCCAATCCCCTTTTCTAAAAAGATCGTTTGTTACTAATATTATTGCAACTATTTCACTTCCCAGTTACTTGCAACACAAGGCTAGATAGACCTCACCTATCACACACTATATGCAACGCCCCTCAAAGAGGTACATAAAAATTTGAGCATGACCTATCTGTAATAAGAAGGGTCGACATGCTAAATCTTATGCACATCACAATATAGATATACTGAAGGGCGAAAAATAAAGAAGTGGAGATGTATATGCAATACTCAGGATCACGAGGTTGATAGCAGAGTCCGTAGAAAACCAAAATAGAAGAAGACTAAAGGGAACAACAAAATATTACAATAATAGTAGTAGCTACAAACATTAATACGTGTTTGATAAGTCAAAAGTACTACGAAAGTGAATATAAATTAACTCCTACTAAGATTTTTCTCTCAGAGCTTATCTTCAATTTCAGGGTCTACGATTCATTTATTCTTGTTGATGGTATGACCTGTGAATGGATATAGAAACAATAGGGGTGAGCCTAAGGCCCAATAGGTAACCATAAAAATCCCAGGTACAACATAAGGGGATGAATAAAAAGGATAGACATATATATTCGAGCTTAAACAAAGGGATCTCAACATTAAGTTGCCACACTTATATCATGATCATTGATCGAAATGAAATAACATGTAAATATGAATAATCAATGTCTCATATTCAGGATTCCAAACTCCCCAATCATGGGATAATCAACAAACCGCGCATGCCTTCATACATCCACCGGTGAGCGTCCTCACACAGGGCATTGTCCACCGGTGAGCGTCCTCACACAGGGCATTGTCCCTACGGGACCCATTACTATTATCACCCACCGATGAAGCTTACTTCACACAGGGCATAATCCATAAATATAGACTATCTATCATCAACTAAAAATGGAATACTATCAATATCAATAGTCGAATCATCGAAGCAAGTTGAATTGTTGCAATATAATCATTCAAGGATATCGAAGGTATAAAATTGAAATAAACAACATTAGGGTAACAATGGTTAAGCAATCACCAAGGAGCCCACGCATGTAGTGAATCAAATAGGAATATTACGAAAGTGATAAGATATACAACTTAACATGGGAAACCAGCTCGCAAAAATTTCAAGAAGTAATCAATCTAACTCTCAAAGACTTGAGAGGAGACAATGAAAGGTTACCTACCGATTATGTCAGGATCCTCTCGGCCAACAAATGAATCCAAAATTGTCCTATATACACATACATGTATACCCACATGAGATTCTAAACGCTATGTCTTTTATAATTTTTCTAACTTAAAACTTATATCAATTTATATCATGGTATAAGCTACACTCTAGATGATTGCATCCAATATTTCTAATATGCACAACAGCACAAGTAATGTACATGCAGTAGTTTTAGCTGAATGGATGGTATAACAATGGATGTTCAAAATGCATGAAACTAGTTCTAAATGACTATTATGAGTCTAATTTCAGAATAGTAAAATTTTACATCAATGCATGGGGCATAGTAAGAGTTATGCTCTCAGCAAACTACACCTATCAAAACTGCAGCAGAAAAACAGAGATTATTATTTGGAATGAATAATTTATTTCGAGTACTTAACACTATACAAATGAGCTTATATTTGGTATATAAGTAATATGATGGATTAGATTCCAAGTCCCATGAGTTGCATCAAATTTTTATTTTTATAATGCATGTTACATGAAAGATAACACAGGGGGGACAGACTGGAATTGTCAGTACATATAATAGCTATTAGAACTAGGCTTAGACTTACCAAACATTACTCAAATTGATTCAAACTTACATCAATAGAAAGACAATTGAGTCTAGTTTTAGGAACAGAAAGAATTTCATGTATGTATGGTATATATTAAGATTTATGCTCTTTACAATGGACATAACTCAGGCAAACTATTTCAGACATATGCACCGAGTTCAACCATAGTTTCAAACTATTAAATGGTCTTAGAATTAAACAAACAATGTCTCAAATGAAAACCACGGAAGTATAGTTTCTAGAACAGAAAGAATATCTGCATTTGGATATATACAAAGAAAGTTATGATCTTTTTACTGGTAGGGTATCTTGCTGGAAATTTCTGCACAAAATTCTGTTTCAAGATAAAATTAACATGCAACACATGTTTACACTAAATCAAAGTAAGATGATCAATAATTTATCACATTAGGATTATAAACCAATAAATATTATATTTTCTATACTCATAGATATAAAAATCATGTTTTTATAACTAATTATGGACATGCAAGGATATATCCTTTCTTCAAAATAACATGCAATGATAAAATCCTCATATGCAAGATCAAAACCAAATTAAATCATATAATTTCAGTCTAATATCCTTAATAATAACATGCAAAAGAGATTTATACCTAGGATTGAGATTTGCTCCACTTCCTCCTCCAAAATCCTCAACTACCGTCTTTCTCCTCTCCTTCAATGTTTAGAGCTTGAGAGATGAAGCTTATGAAATCTATTATTTTTTTTTTCTTTTTTTTACAAGAGGAGAGGTGCTAGGGTTTGGTCGGCCAGAGGAAAGGGATGAGGTTTGGAGACTTTTTTTAATGGCAAAATGAGAGGTGGAGTGCACTTATATATAAGGCCCATGTGAAAAGGAATCTTCAATTTGGCCAAAGTTGAGGGTTTTTATGAAAATTTCACCCACTAACATGGCTGAACAATTTAAATAATTATATTACTTAGAGTCTCAAGTTAGGTATTTAACAATTAAGTTATCTCTAATTAAAGTTTAAAGCGTGGTTGATTTAGATTTACATGCTAAGTTTGTATGCGTACGATAACTTCGTTAACTAGATCATAAAATAAAAATTAGCTAAGTTAAAATCCTCATGCTCGAAGATTATATGGGATACCAAAAAAAAAAATTTACCAATTTATAGATCGGTATTGGTAACAGTATCCGATCATCGAAAAGAAAAAGATAATGTTACATGCTTCCCTCCTTAAGGAAATTTCGTCCCCGAAATTTTTACGTACCCTCAAAATAAATATGGATATACTTTTCGCATCTCAGATTCTAGTTCTCATGTTACCTCCTCAACGTCCTGATTGTTCTTTAACACTTTAACTAGTGATATGGACTTATTTCTCAGCTTCTTCTCCTTAAAGCCTAGCAATCGAACAGGTCGTTCTTTATTTTTCCTTCCGATGACCGGATATGTAACATTACCTTTTTCCTTCTGATGAGCGGATATCGTTACCAATACCGATCTATAAATTAGTAAATTCTTTTCTTTTTTGTATCCCATATAAATCTTCTAGCATAAGGATTTTAACTTTAGCTAATTTTTATATTATGATCTAGTTAACGAAGTTATCGCATGCATACAAACTTACCATGTAAACCTAAACCAACCATGCTTTAAACTTGAATTACAGATAACCTAATTATTAAATACCTAACTTAAGACTCTCTAATTAACATAATTATTTAAATTGTTCAACCATGTTAGTAGGTGAAATTTTCATAAAAACCCTCAACTTTGGCCAAATTGAAGATTCCTCTTCACATGGGCCTTGTCTTATATATAAGTGCACTCCACCTCTCATTTTGCCATTAAAAAAGTCTCCAAACCTCATCTCTCTCCTCTGGCCGACCAAACCCTAGCACCTCTCCTCTTGTAAAAAAAGAAAAAAAAATATAGATTCCATAAGCTTCATCTCTCAAGCTCTAAACATTGAAGAATGAGAGGAGAAAGAAGGTAGTTGAGGATTTTGGTGGAGAAAGTGGAGCAAGTCTCAACCCTAGGTATAAATCTCTTTTACATGTTATTATTAAG